GACAAAAATATAATTGAAATTGTTAGTTTTTCGATTTCACTAAATATTTTGCATAAGGTACTAAGTATAAAAACGACAACTTCTTCGCTATCGAAAAAACAGCTTCCCTTCAGGAAATTAAATTAATTTGAAAGCAATTTAGAGACTACTTTATTTTCAATAACAACAAATTGAGAGTCTAACTTTTTGTCCTGCAGCAAACTGATTTATTTAACATGACGATGTCCTAGGAAGCCGTCAATTATCTAATTCTGCATTTAAATTCGATCACTTTAAAATGCATTTGGTTTAAAGCACTGCTTTTCCCAGCTTCCACAAATTGTTCCTTTGAATAAAAAGAGTATCAATATTCTAAATATTTACTCACTGCATTTGTTTCAAGTAGTTTTTCAATTCAAACTTGCTTCCGTAACCGCAAAAAACTCCACAGGCAAACACCGATGGCCTACCAACTGTCATTTTGACTAGCAAAATGATTGCAAGTTTTTGTGTGTGGGCACTTTGATATCTTGAAATAAGCATTCGCCGCATGACGCCACCAAACAACATTCTCTCAATCTCGTTTTTTAAGAACATTTAAATCTTAAAAAAACTTGCTGAACAATTTTCTCAAAAATGTAATCATAAATAATCCAATAAGGAACAAATTTTTATTTTGATTTAATACCAAAATTTCATCGATGTTACCACCAGCACGCTATCTTTCAAATATGGCTGTCAAACTATCGAATGGCCTGCAATAGATGTCAAGCAATAAGCGCTGACATATATTGCAGCCCCATGATTCAATAATACAAGGTTAGATAATTATTGACAGCCGGGGTTTGACACTCCCTTACAAAAGGTTGCATTTACGAAGGATAGAGAAAGGAGAAGAAAGCAATCCTTTGTTGGGAAAATGGTAGTAGAAGAGTACGCAAAATAGGCAATTAGTAGTGAATTTCTTTTTGTAAATTCTAATGTATTTGCAGGAAATCTGGCATTTTAAACGAAATATTGAACGAAATATTAATATATCTACGTGAATTACGTAATTTATGTACTATTTAGCTGTATAAAAACTGCAAAAGGACTCATAATTAAAATAAAACTACTATGAGATTTATGTAAACATCCAATTTAAAAATAATTTATGTTTTCATCAGTTAAATGTCTTTAATATGCATATACAAATAAACAAATTGCACAAAAGCTTATACTTCTATTTCACAGAAAAGCTGCACTTTTTCCAAGGTAAATTTGTAAAGAAGCAAAACCGTGCCACTGCTAAGGGAGCGGGGCGAGAGAGGCAACTGTCAGTTTAGCGAACCTTGTATTATTGAATCATGTTGCAGCCGATGAGAAATAGGCGGTCTCCATTGGAAATATATTTTGTAACATGGTTATCACGACACCAGTGCTTTCCTGTGGAGACAGGGCCTAAGGATTAGTACAAAGAGAGACACATTGCGGAAAATATCTAAATTGTTTTATGAACAAAAAACAAATGGATAAAAATTTTTATTCAAACCCTGAGCCCTGAAGTTCGATCGGAAGTCCCTAAATATCAGAGGGAAAAATCCAATCTGACAACCCTATCGCAGAGGTCCTCTCAAAACTATTCACGTTTACGCGTAAAAAGGTGCGATACAACGTATCACATAGAAAAACACGTGTTTTGCCCATCTCTGGCGAGAACGAAAAAATACGTTTATAAATATGGGCTTAAGGAAACAAAATAGTGAAAATTTGAATTTAAAGAAATGAGGGAATATGGGCCCTCAAAACTTGTGTTCGGATGGTACTCAAAATGAAAGCAGTTTTGAAATGATCATTAAAGTAAAAAAATATCTGCAAATTTTCATGCATGGAGAACAAATCTAAAAGAACACTTTGAAGATAAACACAAACAACCAAAAAGAAGTCAACTAAATATATTATAAAAGCAAAGTAAAGTTTGGATAAACTTTAAAATCATTGCATATGTTCGCTGCGGAC